TTGGGTGGCTCACTCAGTTAAGTGCCTGCCTTCAGCTCAGGTCATGATCCCAGAGTCCTGGGACTGAACCCTGCATTGGGCTCCCTGTTCTGTGGGGAGTCTGCTTCTCCCTCACCTTCTGCCTGTGCTCTGCCTGCTTGTGCTCTCTCTCTCTCTCTCTCTCTCTCTCTCTCTGTCAAATAAATAAATAAATAAAATCTTTGAAAATGCCCATAACCACTAAATTAAGCCTTGTAAATATTTAATATAGAGTAAAACTAAAATTTATATTCTAAGGAAAACTTTTCTTACAGCACTCCGTATATAACTCTATTAAAGCATCTGTCACACTGAATTAAACCTATTTTTAAATTTATCTGTCTCCTCTCCACTAGACTAGAATTCCTTGATTGCAAGGGCACGAATTCAGATGTCTTTAAAAAGTACTTAGTAAATGTTCTTTGAAATGGATCAACTCTTCTGCCTTTGAAAACTTTATATGGATCTTCACTGGGTATTGATTATTGCCGTTCAATATAGGAGTCTTAGTTCAAGGAAGAAGTACAGCATATAGATTTAAAGACCAAGAAATGGAACTCTCCAATATTTAGAGACCTGGGAGATGAGAAAGAACCAATAAAGGAAATCAACCACAGTAGTAAGAGATGTTTGAAAAAAAGACAAGAGTGATACCTAGGAAGCTAAGTAAAAATGAGATCTAATATTGGGTTTAGCACATTTCTAGTGATTCTTAGGAACTAGGAACCACAGCTTACTGTATAACCCCAAAGTCCGGGAATGAAATGGCCAATGAATCCTAGATGCAGAAAAATGGATGGTTCAGAAAACTGATGGTAAGAGAAGAGCAAATTGGATGAGGAAACAATGACAGAAATTCTATAGTAAGAAAACCCTCTGTGTTGGGACTAGAAATTGAGGGGAAAGTAAAGAACTAAGATTCTCAAACAGAGACAATGAGATGTAGTGGAAAGGACACATGCTTTGGAATCAAAATAGTCCAAGATACAAAGGCAGACTCCAGTATCAGCCAGCTGTCACCCTTAAAGCCATTCCCTCTCACTGAGGGCAATAATACCTCTCTTGCAGAGTCAAGAGATTGAACTAAGTAATACACATGAAAGTGCAAAAAACAAACTACTTGTTCTTATAAACACCCTTCAGAGTACCATATAGTGCCTAATAAGGAATACTGGGGAGGCACAGTGTCTCTATTTCTTGCATTCCTTAGTGTGGCCTAAAAAAACAAGGTATGTAATGCCAAAAAGTCAACCTCAACTAGTTTACTTTTTAAAGATTTATTTATTTATTTATTTATTTATTTGGACTGGGGGTGGGGGGTGGGCAGGGCAGAGGGAGAGCGGAAGAGAAACCTAAGCAGACTGCACTGACCACAGAGCCCGACACGGAGGTTGGAGTTGCGGGGTTGATCTCACAACCCTGAGATCACAACCTGAACCCAAACCAAGAGTCAGATGCTTAACTGACTATGCCACCCAGGTGCCCCCTCAACTAATTTAAAGCATCACAACACTAAGACAATCATTTCAGACAAGTTTTTCAACAACTTGGCTGAACTGGACAATTTTTAAAAAGGAGATGTGGCAATCTCAGCTCTCCTCCCTTAACATGACTTATTACCAGATCTCAAATCAGTAAATAATTTAAAAGGAACATTAATTTTTATATATAGGTGAACAAAGGGGAAAGTTCCAATGATCTCTTTTTGAGTTTGTGTTTTGTTCTGAGTAATCTCTACACCTAACATGGGGCTTGACCTCATACCCCAAGATTGAGTCCCATGCTCTTCCAACTGAGCCAGTAAGGTGCCCCCCAACGATCTTTTTCTAAAATAAATAAATAAATAAAATTACTTTAAAACAATGATTCTCAATATTGGCTGAATACTGTAATCACCTAAGGAGCTTTAGAAAATACTGATTCCTGAGTCCTACCTCCCTGTGGCTCTGATTTAATCGTTCAAGCTCCACAAGTGAGTTCTTTTAATTAAAAATTTTTTTCCAGGGGTGTGTGGTTGGCTCAGTTGGTACAGAATGTAATTTTTTTTTTTTTTTTTTTTGGTGGGGCAGGGAGAAAAAGAAGGGTGGAGGAAAGAGGGTTAGAGAGAGAATCCCGACCAGGCTCCATGACCAGTGGAGAACCCCACATGAGGCTCGATCCTACAACCCAGAGATCGTGACCTGAGCTGAAATCAAGAGCTTAACCTACTGAGCCACCCAGGTGCCCTTAGAGCATGTGACTCTTGATTCTGGGGTGGTGAGTTTGAGCCCCAAGTTGGGTACAGAGATTACCTAAAATAAAATCTTTAAAGTAAGTAAGTAAATAAATCATTTCCCCCAGCTTTATCAAAGATATTACTGACATATATCATCGTGTAAGTTTAAGGTATCCAACATGATGATTTGATACATGTATATATTGGGAAATGATTACCATGATAAGGTTGATTAACATAAACATCATTTCACATAATTACATCCCAGGTGATTTTATTTTATTTTTTTTTTAAAGATTTTATTTATTTATTTGACAGAGAGAGATCACAAGTAGACAGAGAGGCAGGCAGAGAGAGAGAGAGAGAGGGAAGCAGGCTTCCTGCTGAGCAGAGAGCCCGACGCGGGACTCGATCCCAGGACCCTGAGATCATGACCTGAGCCGAAGGCAGCGGCTTAACCCACTGAGCCACCCAGGCGCCCCATCCCAGGTGATTTTAACTGTAGGGCTGGGTGAGAATCACTACTTTAATGTTTATATAGGAGGAAAATAGATAATGATACCAAATAAAGTAGGTGTTTCATATGGTCAAGATTTCAAAGTAATAACAGCTCCATTTGTGAAATCAAACTTGTTTTACAGAGGCATTATAAAATACAGATGTCCTACTAGCCTCAATTTTATAAGTCAGGCTAATTCACTGGAGGGTCGTCCGTTGGTTGTAAGAAGAAACCAGCAAACACTGTACTGCTCTGGGATCATACCTATTACATCTTTGCCTTGAAAATATTACTTAGCTTAACATACCAGGGACACATTCCTTTCATCCTTTAGGATGCTCACCTCTTCTGGGAAATTCTCCCTCAACTCCCAGCCCACAGGGGATTTCTTCCCTTTTAATTTTTAGAATCCTTTACTATTAGACCAATTTGTTTGGCAGTTAAGTAACATTACAATAGTAATTTACATTTTTATATTTCCTTCATCAAAAAACCCTGTGCTAAAAATCTGTCTTGTTCCATAACAAATTGTTAAGTAAGTTCCTCACACTTCTTATTGCCCTGCACCCATCTTATGTGACCTTTCCAAGTCTGACCCTGGTGCCTGCCTACTTTTCCAGCCTCATCTCATTGCTCTGTGACTTTCTACTTTTGAGCTCTAGCCACAGTGGCCTTTCTTTCAATTCCTTGGATGTACCATGCTCCATTCTACCACACATATTTTGCATTAATTATTCTCATTGCCTGGAATGTTCTCTACCAAGCTATTCACCCTTAAGATCTCCACTCATTCATTAATTCTTCAGAGAAGCCTTAAATTAAGTCAAGTCTCTCTGTTAAACATTTTCATATATAATACTGTATTATCTTCTAGATTTCAGCACAGTATAAAGCATATATACAGCATGTATATATGATATACATAAATATATATATAAATGTATATGTGTGTATGTATATTTAAAGCACACATATACGTTGGCACATGGCATTTGATTACTTGATTCCCTCACTAAATTACAAGCTCCATGAGGGCAAAATCATGCCTGTTTGCCTTCACCATCAAATCCCCATACCCCGCACGGTGACCAGTACACACAGGCACTTGGTAAAATATTGAATGAATAAAAAAGAATAATTCAAAATCATTTTCTACATTCTATTTTTTAAGGCCTAAATTTACAAATACGTAAGAACTGAGATGTTTATATTTACAACTAAACTTTCCTTCTCCTTTTTTGAGTCTGTCATGATTACTCAAAAAAGATACCTTGCCTTTTGGGTCACAATATCCACTTTCAGGCCATCCCTGACTCTGCTCCAGGTAGGATCAAAGGATGCTTCTGCTTAAGTAGTGTAGGTAGTAGGGGGAAAAATGGGGTTCTGGAATTAGATGTAAATCCAAATGTTGGTTCTAACTAACTGTAAATCATATAATTTCTGAGTCTATGGTTCTCATCTATAAAATGGGGCTAATACCTATCAATGTAAGGCATCTAGAGGATACAGTGTGAATTAGGAAAATATTAGTTTTCCTTAAACTTGCCACAATTCTATCCTTCAAGGTATGACTCAGATACCATCTTTTCCATCAAGCCCCAAATTCTCCAGCTGGAAGAAACTTCTTCTACTCTTTTACAGCAATTACACTGACTTCGGCTTTATAGTTATTTATGATTGTATCATCACCAAGACTAAGCTCCTTAGAAGCAGATCCTATATCTTTTTTATCTTTGAATCCGAAGTACCAAGCAGATGAATTTAAACCATTAGGCATGAAAAACCTTAAGAAAAGCAAAATTATACATTTCTATGGTAAAGATCTCCTTGGAGAACTTAACTTCCCAATGGATATCAATTCAAGGAGTATCCTTAGTTTTAAAGTGACCAATTAGAAATGGTATGTTACAGTGGTTCAAAATATCTAACTATTACCATCATAAGAACTATACTTATCCAAGGCCTACTACATGACTAGCACTTTACATATATAATTACTAACCTTTAGAAGAAATTGTTAGACAGAATATCTGTTTTGTAAATAAAGAAATGGAAACCCAAAAAGTTACATCATCTCTTGGTCTGGGTCATGAAGCAAGCAGGCTAGGATTTTAACTGGGACTCTGACTTGAAAGCAAAGCCTTTCCACTATACAATACCATCTTTCACAGACATGTTCCATATATTGTTAGACATTCATCTTAATGGAACCTTATGCAGCTAAGACATTGGTCAGCCTGACAAAATAATACATTTTAAAAGTCTAACCTTTAAATGTCCTTCACCAGTGAGGAATTCAGAGTAACCTGCATCAGTGGCCAGCAAACCTACAAACTGCATGCTGGGCCGTTGTTGTATAAAGGCTTCAACAGCTTTATCTGTCACATGCTTCCTCCCAGAAACATCCAGGGAGACAAGGTTGGGTAGGATGTCTTTTTGTTCTAGTAAGCGAAGAGCTATGTCTGATGTAAACTGTTTATCATCTGAAATGTCAAGATGATTCAGATGTTTTAGTTCCCGCACAACATCCAGTATCTGGGTAGTTGTCATTTTTAAACACTTCAAGTGGTGCATGGTTAGAGACTTGAGTCGGTCTTTGCAGGCCAGCAAAGCTGTGATGTCTGTGATTGAGGTGTTAGAAATATCCAGGCTCTCTAATCTTGGCAATGAGGCAACCTCAGCGAGGTCTTCATTGTAAAAGAGAACATTGGTGATGCTTAACGCTCGAAGGCCAGAAAGCCGGCTGAAGCACCGCTCGTAAGGATCTTCGAGGGAAAGAGTTAACGAGTTCAGCACTAGGCACTGGAGATTTTGCTGGATCCATTTGTTACTGCCAAGCCCACTGATGATGTCTGTAATCGTGATGTCTGCATTCACACCTGTAGCATCAAGTTCCACTAACTTGTGATGGCAGAAGGCTTTCCGGAAAGCAACAGCAGAGATCTTGGCTTTGCGAATGCAAGCACGCTTTAAGCGCATCTGGTTGCCCCTGAAAATACCTACAGTTCCATCATTCAGTAGACCTGGAAAAAAAACAAGCAACACTTCAATTTCAAAAAATAATTAAAGAATAGCTAAAATTTCCAGCATACTTACATTTCCAAAGCACACCCATGTAACAGTATTTCATTTAATATACATAACAATTCCATGGGGTAAGAATATTATGATTACAACTTAGAGATGAATACACTAGGGTGAGAAAAGTGGCTTTCCAAGGTCACAGAGCTAGCAAGTGACTGTGGTATTACAGATATTCACTAACATCTGGTTCTACTTGCCTTCCTGGACATGTAGACAGCTACATTTCCCATCCTACCCTTGGAATTAGATGGGGCTATGTGCCTAGTTTTGACCAATGGCCTATAGGCTGAAGCACCTGAGAGCCAGTACACGATTTCCCATGCTATCTTTTCCCGCTATGACAAATGAGAAATCTTCAAGTTCTAGACAGAATAGATTTCTGAAAGTGGAGCCTCCATCAGTTTGGATCCAAGAGGGACCATGGAGCACAACCCTCCACGGATTTGCAGCATTTATGTACCATGAGTGAGGTAAAACAAACTTTATGTTAAGCTATTGAATCTGGGGAATTAATTGTTACCAATACATTATTACTAGTCTATCCTTCAATTTTACTATAATACATTATTATACACACAAACATACATACATACATGCATACATATATGATCTTTGAATGAATAAAAAAGTAATATATGTGTGTGTGTATGTGTGTGTGTATATATATATATATATACACACATATATTTAGCACATGCTTATCTAAAAATCATTCAGATCACTGGCTAGATCTGAAATCTTATTAAAAGGATCTAGAAGGGGGCGCCTGGGTGGCTCAGTGGGTTAAGCCTCTGCCTTCGGCTCAGGTCATGATCTCAGGGTCCTGGGATCGAGCCCCGCATCAGGCTCTCTGCTCAGTAGGGAGCCGGCTTCCTCCTCTCTCCCTGCCTGCCTCTCTGCCTACTTGTGATCTCTCTCTCTCTGTCAAATAAATAAATAGAATCTTTAAAAATAAATAAATAAATAAATAAATAAATAAAAGGATCTAGCGGTTAGGGGCGCCTGGGTGGCTCAGCCATTAAGAGTCTGCCTTTGGCTCAGGTCATGATCCCGGGGTCCTGGGACAGAGCCCCGCATCTGGCTCCTTGCTCAGCAAGAAGCCTGCTTCTCCCTCTCTCACTCCCCCTGCTTGTATTTCCTCTCTTTCTGCCAAATAAATACAAAATAAAATCTTAAAAAAAAAAAAAAAAGGACCTAGGGTATAGTCAACTTTCTGTCAGATTAAATTCAAATAAAGTGGATACAGGAACCTCTTAAAGTCCCTTAGAGATCTACGTGACTAGCAATTAACAGTGCCAGAAGTATATGATGCTTTGGAACCACATCAATCTCAACAATATCACCTATCAATTAAACAACATCTCCTGTGAAAGTAACAGGCATGCCAATAAAAGATAGCCTAAGAACAGTCCAGGGTGAGTGTACAGTTGGGACCAGGTAAATAAATAGCCTGGAGTCAAGGGAAGAACTCTAAGTGGCACCTCAGTAGACTCATACTAAACAGATTCACACAGCTTGGGCTAAAGATGAAGCTAAGGGTCACCTTTGTATTAGAACTAAAGTATTTTTTTAAAGGGAACACTGCTTTCCAGTGGATTTTGCAGACTTATTTATGGTTAAAAAGTTAAAATCAAGAAAAACCTTTACCTATCACAGTGGACAAAAATGACTACATATTAAGAACTCCATTATTCTAGTGCTATACTGTCCAAACCAGTAGCCACCAGCCACACACAGCTATTGAGCACTTGAAATGCATATAGTCCAAACTGAGCTTTGCTGTAAGTGTAAAACATACATCAGATCTTGAAGATTTAGTAAAAAAAATATATATATATAAAATATCTCATCGGGCACCTGGGTAGTTCAGTGGGTTGGAGCCTCTGCCTTCGGCTCAGGTCATGATCCCAGGGTCCTGGGATCGAGCCCCGCATCGGGCTCTCTGCTCAGCGCAGAGCCTGTTTCCCTTCCTCTCTCTCTGCCTGCCTCTCTACTTGTGATCTCCGTCTGTCAAAAAAATAAATAAAATCTTAAAAAAAAAAAAAATCTCATTAATAACTTTCATATTGACTACATGTTAAAATGGTATTTTGGATGTACTGGCTTGAATAAAATTATGAATTAGTTTCACCTTTTTCTACTTTTAAAATGTGGCCACTAGTAAACTTAAAATGATCTACATGGGGGTGCCTGGGTAACTCAGCTCAGCTCTGCCTTCAGCTCAGATCATGATCCCTGGGTCCTGGAATTGAGCCCTGTGTTGGGCTCCCTGCTCAGTGGGGGGCCTGCTTCTCCCTCACCTACTCCCCCTGCTTGTGCTCTTTCTCTCCCTCTCTCTGTCAAATAAATAAAATTTAAAAAAAATAAAATAAAATAAATTACATATGTGCCTCACAGTTGTGGCTCATGTTTTATTTCTCTTAGGCAGTGCAGTTCTAGAGACAGTGTTTTAAACTACCAGAATTCTATTTCAGGGGAGTAAATTTCATAGTAAGTTTCCAGCCATTGAGCAGTTATTAAACAATCACTATATGTCAAACACTACCAAATGTGTATACAAAGAAAATTAAGCTATGCCCGTATACTCAAAGAATTCAAAATTCCATGGAGTGAAAGCATTAAACAATGTAACAAAATGAGATCTATGGTATATCAGAGTCAAGTACAAAGTACCATGGAAACAAAAGCAAGCAACCCATCATTCCTGAAGACCTAGAAAGATTCAACAGAAGAGGTAATCTTTGAGTAAGTCCTTCAAAGATGAAGGAAAAATTCAAGGAGGGAGAAAGAAGGTGAGGGGTATTAAAGGAAGACTAAATAAAGTTTTAGCGCACACATATATCAAATCAATTATGTTGTACACCTGAAACTAATATATTATATGTCAATTTTATCTCAATTTAAAAAAAAAATTTTTTAAGATTTTATTTATTTATTTGACAGAGATTACAAGTAGGCAGAGAGGCAGGCAGAGAGAGAGGAGGAAGCAGGCTCCCTGCCGAGCAGAGAGCCCGATGCGGGGCTCGATCCCAGTGGGATCGTGACCCGAGCCGAAGGCAGAGGCCTCAACCCACTGAGCCACCCAGGTGCCCCCCAAAATAACTTTTTTTTAAAAAAGATTTTATTTATGGGGCGCCTGGGTGGCTCAGTGGGTTGAGGCCTCTGCCTTCGGCTCGGGTCACGATCCCAGGGTCCTGGGATCGAGCCCCGCATCGGGCTCTCTGCTCGGCAGGGAGCCTGCTTCTCCCCACCCCCCCTTGCTGCTCTGCCTACTTGTAATCTCTCTCTCTTTGTCAAATAAATAAAATCTTTAAAAATAAATAAATAAAAAGATTTTATTTATTTATTTGACAGAGAGAAATCACAAGTAGGCAGAGAGGCGGGGGGGGGGGCGCGGGGGGGAGCAGGCTCCCTGCTGAGCAGAGAGCTCGATGCGGGCTCGGTCCCAGGACCCTGAGATCATGACCCGAGCCGAAGGCAGAGGCTTTAACCCACTGAGCCATCCAGGCGCCCCCAAAATAACTTATCTTTCAAAATATCCCTTTAGAAGTTTGCTGGTATAAAATACCTTACGTCTTCATTTGGCAGTGGAAAATAAACACTATTACGGAAAAATGAGTTTCTTCTTTTGACCTTTGAATTGGGAAAGCATAGCTAATTTAGTACTTCTGTTTTCAAAAATGAATTTTGAAAATAAGTTGGGAGAGTCTTATCTGTGGAATTCTGTTTATGTAGGGGATTTTTGTTATTTCTGATTAAGTTTTAAGTTGAAATAGATAATGCCATTTTTAATTTCAGTTTATAAACTCTTTCAAGTAGGAAATATAATTTGTTCACAACTATAAAATAGAATGACAATGTGGCAATAATAATTACTATCATTTACCTATTATCTGTTTCGTGCTAGGAATTTTGTTTTCCTCGAATTTTCTCTAAAACCTTATAAAATAACCACTATTAAAAAAAGGTAACTATGGGGCGCCTGGGTGGCTCAGTGGGTTAAAGCGTCTGCCTTCGGCTTGGGTCATGATCCCAGGGTTCTGGGATTGAGCCCCGCATCGGGCTCTCTGCTCAGCGGGGAGCCTGCTTCCCCGCCCCCCTCTCTCTGCCTGCCTCTCTGCCTACTTGTGATTTCTGTCTGTCAAATAAATAAAATCTTTAAAAAAAAAAATGGTAACTATTGTAATCCCATTCATATACAGATAAGGAAACTGATTCAGAAAAGTAACTTGTTAGAGGTCATAATGCTAGTAAATGGTAGAGTCCTAGTTCAGATCGAAGTCTGATTCCAAGTCTGTGCTGTTTTCACTGCCACACAATCTTCCTACAACCACATTAGAGATATTCCTGTTCTATATGCCAGAGAATACTGTACACTTTGCTGTGGCTTTATATATATAAAGTATGAATCCAGATAATGTATAAGGAACGGTGGGAGAAATAAAGGTATAATTGAGGTATTTTAGAATAATTTTAGAAAGAAGATGTTTGAACTCCTTGGTTTTCACTGAGTTGCTCAAGTCTGTAGTCTCTTTGAATTTAGCCTACCAAAGGAACTGGGTTGATACCAGTAGGTACTATATATGATAAAGTTAAAGGTTCCTTACAAAGCTGCATAACAATTTAAGAGATTATGTCAGTGCTTTCATTTCTTTTTGGTCTCAATTTAATGACTATGCTTAACATATTCAATTTAAATATATATACATATAGGGTGCCTGGGTGGCTCAGTGGGTTAAGCCGCTGCCTTCGGCTCAGGTCATGATCTCAGGGTCCTGGGATCGAGTTCCGCATCGGGTTCTCTGCTCAGCGGGGAGCCTGCTTCCCTCTCTCTCTCTGTCTCTCTGCCTGCCTCTCCGTCTACTTGTGATCTCTGTCAAATAAATAAATAAAATCTTAGAAAAAAATAATAAAAAAAATATATATATATATACATATAACTAATCTTGTAAATCAAAGGAATAAATGTTAAGTAGAGTCTTAATTTGCCCGATTCTTTTTGAAATATAACTACTGATAGCTAATATTAGCAGCTAACATTTATTGAATACTTGTTATTGTTACTAGCTCTGTGGCAAATGCTTTATATGGGTAAAATAATGGAGGCAGTTTTCAAATAAGTGTAACTAAATAATTATCCTCCAGAGTAGTGTCATCAGAATGTGTTTTCTACCTCTTCTTTTCAAGCTGCCTTCAGATGAGAAAACTGAGGGTCAGAGAAATAACTTAATGTCCTCATTTGTATTACCTCAATGTTATTTCTGGCCTCATTCACCAAAAAGTGTTCTGAATTAATCTCTTTGCAAAAAAAACAAGAGTAGATAGTACTAACCTAAAACTAACATAATATTGTATGTCAACTATATTTCAGTAGTAAAAATAAAAATTGGAGAAGCAATCTGTGGGAAAAAAACCTTACAGTATTTCCAGGCTGTGTTGTATATTACATGACAAGCTTGAAATTCAACTTATGAATTTGTCAGATGTAGACTAAGATAGGTAATAATTAAAATATAAAAAATTGAAAAACAAAAAAGAGTGGATACTACTGACAATATGCAAAAGAACATAATGCCAATTTTGTCAAAATTTTAAAGTTTCATCAGTTTTTCTGTGTATTTGAATATTTTCATATGGAAATGTCAAATGGAAAAAAGTTCTATGAATACTTTTAGAATTTATAATATTTTTTCTAATTTCTCTCTCTGCCTGCCTCTCTGCCTACTTGTGATCTCTGTCAAATAAATAAATAAAATCTTTAAAAAAAAAAAGTTATTTTTGCCATGGGAAAAGCAGAAAAAGAAGAAGAAAGAAAAAGAGAGAAAGAAAGAAAGAAAGAAAAAAAAAGGAAGCAATTTTCCTAGATTAGAAAAGAAAAATGCTTATTCCAAATTACAAAGTAAGTGGCAGGACAGGAAAAAATAAATGAATTCCTTTTCCTGGAATCAGACTCATCTGGCCTTTTCTAAGAAAATAATTAAATGCCACAGCAGCATTCAAAATCCAATGCCAATTAACAGCACATAATTCTTATTTCCTCTGTGTTTTTTTTACCATGAAAAGCCATAGTCTGAAGCAGTCGATCAGCCACCTCCTGTGGGAATACTCCAGGTTCCTGCAGACACAATGTTCCATCTTGTCTTGCTGAACAGAACTTCTCAAGGTGAGTAGTCAGGAAATTCAAGCAGATATCAAGTAAGGAATAGGGAGATGCCTCCTCCTTGGAGCCCAGGAAAAAACATAAAGGGAAGACAAAAGCCAACAAGTTAGTTTCCAGAAAAATAGAAAACAAAACTTTCATGAACTCATTCAAGAAGTATTTTTACTCAGTGTCTACCATATGTTAGATACTGTGTTAGGTGCTGGGAATACAATAGGTAACCCATCTTCTCAAGAGGCAGAAGAGAAACGTTTAAACAAATATTTACATAAAATATATTACATACTGTATTAGAAGACATATTGAGTAGTATGTAAGTACAAGCAGGGTGTCCTAATCAGACAAGGATGGTCAGGGAAGACCTCAAGGTATAGCAGATTAATCTTCCTCAATTACCACCCATGACCATCCCCTGGTCAACTCTTCCACAAACTTCCATGGGCCTGAAGACAAAAAATAAAATTCTTAGATTGTCAGACTGATGCCTGAGTCCTTCCAAAATCTAGACCAAATTTACTCTCAAACTTGATATCCTACAAAATCCCCATCCCAATCTGATAATTCAAATATGATGAATTTATTTGGGTAAAAGAATTTGCTATAGGTGTTAACATCCTCAAAACCGAAAAAGGTTAACCCTGTTATTCCAGTCTGAGGAATAAAGAACTAATCAAATAAGCGCAAAGACTTAAGTGTAAGGGTTTTAACTATAGAAATAAACACTGTAAATGTCCCCAGTAGTAACAATATAATTAAAATATAATTATAGTAGCTATCATCCATTAGGTGCTTTTATGACTGTGCTGAGTATCTTACATGAATTATCCATTATCTCACTTATTCCTTCATCCCATTTTATTTTTATTTTTTAATAATTTTAAAAAAGATTTTATTTATTTATTTAACATAGAGAGGGAGAGATCACAAATAGGCAGAGAGGCAGGCAGAGGGGGAAGGTGAAGCAGGCTCCCCGCTGAGCAGAGAGCCTGACGTGGGGTTCGATCCCAGGACCCTAAGATCATGACCTGAGCAGAAGGCAGAGGCTTAACCCACTGAGCCACCCAGGCGCCCCCCTTCATCCCATTTTAAAAAGTAGTCAAACATTATCTTCATTTCTAAAGTTTTGGGGGTTTTTTTGTTGTTGTTGTTTCTTTTTAATCTGATAGAGAGCACAAGCAGGGGAACTGGGAGGAGAAGCAGACTCACTGCCAAGCTAGGAGCCCGATGTGGGGCTTGATCCCAGGACTCTCGGGCCATGCTTTTCTCTCAGAGCATGACCTGAGTCAAAGGCAGACGCCCAACCAATTAAGCCACCTAGGCACTCCCATCTTTAAAGTTTTAATTGAAAACTGGCTCAGAAAAGTAACATCTTTCTCAGCATTCTGCATATAGTCAGTGATAAAGTATAGTGTCAAATTAAAAACTGACTCAGGAGCACAACTCTTAGCCACATTATACTATACATGTGACATTTTAATGGGAGCTATTAAACATTACATTTCAAAAATATAGGGGCACCTGGGTGGCTCAGTGGATTAAGCTTCTGCCTTCAGTTCAGGTCATGATCCTGGGGTTCTCAGGATTGAGCCCCACGTCATACTCCCTGCTCAGTGGGGAGCCTGCTTCTCCCTCTCCCTCTGCCCCTCTGCTCCTGCTCTCTCTCTCACTCTAGGTCGTTTACTCTCTCTCTCAAATAAATAAATAAAATCTTAAAAAAAAAAAGTCAAGGAATTGACAACAACAAAAAACTACCAGAACATTAAAAAGAAAAAAAGTTCAGCAAGGCTGTAGGATATAAGTTCTACTTTATTTACAATACATCATATCAATTATATCTATACGATTATACTGAACAATCTGAAAGTGAAATGAAGAAAACAATTCCATTTACAATAGCATCAAAGAGAGTAACATATTTAGAAATAAATTTTAGGAAAAAAGTATAAAATAAAAAATTAAAGCAAACTCAAATAGAAAAACATCAATATTCATAGATCAGAAGATTTAATATTGTTAATTGTTCTATAGTTTCAATACAATCCTTATCAAAATCCAACTTACTTTTTCACAGAAATTAACAAGCTCATCCTAAAATTCATATGGAAATACAATGGACCTAGAATAACTGAAATAATACTGAGAAAAAAAGCCAATTTGGAGGACTCACACTTGTCAATTTTAAAACTCACTACAAAGCTATAGTAATAGAAACACTGTGGTACTGGCATAAGAATATATATATATATATATATATATGCACACACACACATATATATATCTCAATGAAACAGAACTGTGAATCCAAAAATAAACTCTAATATTTATGGTCAATGTTTTTTTCCCCTATGGTCAATATTTTAGACAAGGATGCCTGCACAATTCAATGAGCAAAAGAATAGGTTTTTATTTTTTTATTTTTTTTTATTTTTATTTTTTTTTAAGATTTTATTTATTTATTTGGGAGAGAGACAGTGAGAGAGAGCATGAGCGAGGAGAAGGTCAGAGGGAGAAGCAGACTCCCCATGGAGCTGGGAGACCGATGTGGGACTCGATCCCGGGACTCCGGGATCATGACCTGAGCCGAAGGCAGTCGTCCAACCAACTGAGCCACCCAGGCGTCCCAAAAGAATAGGTTTTTAAACAAATGGTGCTGGGACAATTGGACATGCAAAAGGATGAAGATAGTGTCCTACCTCATGTCATATACAAAAATTAACTAAAGATGGATCAAAGCCATAAATGTAAGAGCTAAAATTATAAAGCTCTTGGAAGAAAACACAGGTATAAATCTTCTTGGTTTTGTGTTAGTAAATGGTTTTTTAGATACAGCACCAAAAGAACAAACAACTAAAGAAAAGTAGAACATAAGCTGAACCTCATCAAAATAAGAAAATTTGGGGGGCACCTGGCTGGCTCAGTTGGTTAAGCATCCACCTTCAGCTTAGGTCACAATCCCAAGATCCTGGGGTGGAGCCCCACATTGGTCTCCCTGCTCGGTGGGGAGTCTGCTTCTCTCTCTGTCCCTCCCCCAGCTCATGCAAGCACATGCTCTCTTTCTCGCTCTCAAATAAATAAAATCTTAAAAAAAGAGAAATTTTTGTCCTTCAAAGATCATCATCAAGACAATGAAAAGAAAGACCACAGAATGGGAGAAACTATTTGCAAATCATATATCTAAGGAGAGATTTGAATCTAGAATATAAAAGTAACTGGATGAGAGGATGGGGTAACTGGGTGAGGGGGATTAAGGAAGGCACATAATGTCGTGAGCTCTGGATGTTATATGCAACTGGTAAGTTATTGAACACTACATCTGAAACTAATGATGTACTGTAAGTTGGCTAATTGAATTTAAATTAAAAAGGAAAAAAACTTGTATTTTAAAACAAAAATATATATATATATAAATAACTCTTATGACTCAGCAATAAAAAGCCAACTCAATTAAAAACAGGCAAAGGTCTGAATAGACATTTCTCCAAAGAAATACAAATGCCCAGAAATCAAATAAAAAAAAAAAAAAAAAAAAAAGGAAAAAAATAATCAAATGAAAATATGCTCGAGGGGCTCCTGGGTGGATCAGTGGGTTAAAGCCTCTGCCTTCGGCTCAGGTCATGATCCCAGGGTCCTGGAATCGAGCCCCACATTGAGCCCCACATCAGGCTCTCTGCTTAGCAGGGAGCCTGCTTCTCCCCCCACTCTGCCTTCCTCTCTGCCTACTTGTGATCTCTGTCTGTCAAATAAATAAATAAAGTCTTTAAAAAAAAAAAAAGAAAGAAAGAAAAATGCTCAAAATCGTTAATGACTAGGGAAATGCAAATCAAAATCATAATGAAATAACACCTCACATCCATTAGGGTGGTTAAAATCAGGGAGTCAGATACTAAGTGTTGGTGAAGATGTACAGAAACTGCAACTCTCATACATTGCTGGTAGGAATATAAAATGATGCATACACTTTGGGAAAAAGTCTACCAATTACCATATAACCTAGTAATATGACCCCTGGGTATTTACCCAAGAGAAATGGAAAACTTGTACATGAAATGTTTATAGAAGCACTATTCATAATAGTTAAAAGGTAGAAACACCACAAATATCCATCAACTGATGAATGGATAAATAAAATATGGCTTATCTACATAATGGAATACTATTTATTTAGCAAAAAAAGGAAACCTGATATACCACACAACATGGATGGACCCTGAAAATAGTATGCTAAGTGGGGCACCTAGCAGGCTCAGATGGAAGAGCATGCAACTCTTGATCTCGCGTCGTGAGTTCAAGCTCCATGTTGGGTATAGAGATTACTTAAAATAAATAAACAACTTTTTAAAGATTTTATTTATTTATTTTGCATGAGACTGAGAGAGCACAAGCAGGGAGTACAGCAGAGGGAGAGGGAGAAGCAGGCTTCTAGCTGATCAGGGAGCCCGACGTAGGGCTCCATCCCAGGACCCTGGGAATGACCCGAGCCGAAGGCAGATGCTTAGCTGACTGAGCCAGCTAGGTGCCCCAATAAATATATATAACTTAAAAAAATAGTATGCTAAGTGAAAAAAGCCAGTGACAAAAGATCATACATTGTATGATTCCATTTATATAAAATATCCAAAATAGGCAAATCTATAGAGACAGAAAGTAGAATACTGGATGCCAGGGCTGGGGGGAGGAGGATTTGGAAGGAAAATGGGAAGTAAATGCTAATGGTTACAGGGGTTCTTTTTGGGGTGATGAAAATGTTCTAAAATTCATTGTGGTTACAGTTTGACAACTCTACGAATATATTAAAAACCACTGAATTGGGACACATTTTAAATGGGTGAACTACATGGTATATGAATTATGTCTCAATTAAGTTGTCATAAAAAATATTTATAGGGGCATCTGATGGGCTCAGTTGGTAGAGCATGTGACTCTTTATCTCAGGGTCGTGAGTTCAGGCCCAATGTTGGGCATGGAGCTTACTTTAAAAAAAAGTAATTAAGGGGCTCCTGGGTGGCTCAGTGGGTTAAAGCCTCTGCTTTCGGCTCAGGTCATGATCCCAGGGTCCTCGG